AGTTCTTATTCCTTCCGGATGTGCCATAGGCTGGCACCCGTATGAAAAATTCTGACGTCGAAAATCTCAAAGTAGGTGGTAGGATCAGCAATCAGATCCCACAAAACAGCTCGAGGCCTAACTTCCTCAGTACATAACTGCAGCCCCGAAAAGTAGTGTGCACTACTTAACCCACAAAACCCTCACATAGCCTGCTCAAAACCTCCTACCACTACCACCATTTAACACACCTTACACCTTCATGACGTTCATGACCGTTCGTGACCTACGCAATGGTGAGACGATTGCGTCACTGAATATAGTTATCGATGGCTACGGTGTTTACGAGGTTTCGACTCCATGGTTCCTACTTAAAGCTGGAATTTAGCATTGATATCCTATTTGTGGGTTGCAGAAAGAGTTAGTCTGATTTCTTTCAACGCAAATGCAAATTTCCCAGCAGAAATCATACTAGACCAAGATGTTAACCACACCCCAGTTTGGTACGGTACGGTACCTCTTCGGTGATTAAATATAATCGAAATATCTTTCTGTAAATTCCAGATCACTTGTTGCTCCTTATCAGTTCCTCCAATACGACGTATTTGCGTTGCCCTGGTCGCCTCTATTCAGTCGCACACACGAGGAACAGTGACGCGTGTTGAGAAAGCAGGTGGCGAATTTTGATTCACTGTAGTGCGCTATGATTTCGTAATGTATCATTTTCTTAAGCTTTTTCCACACACATATTTAAACACTTTAAACGTTCACCGTCATACATGCATTCTGTGATATCGTCTTCCCAGCACACAGTGGAGGAGGAACCACCCATCATTTGGTAATCCATGACCGGTTATAAGGACAACATCAATAATGATCCGTGACCCATCATTTGGCAATCCATAATAGGTTATAGGGAGAACATCAATAATGATCCGTGACATGGATAACCAGGAGGGCAAGGTGCACCACATAGTTGCATTGGTAGCCTAGGTTACATTGTATGTACTATGTGACCGTATGTGACGTCGTTAAAGCGGTTTAAGCACCAGTATACATTAATGTTGGATGGTGCGACGACGACTAGCAACATGTTATAGCGGTGAACAGTCAAAATTTGACATGTGACAGAAGTCAAGGAATCTCAACTGAAAGATGGAAAAGAAAGAGAAGATAGTGAACGTGAGAACTTGAGTGATTGTGGTTGTGATCAGAAAGTGGGTGTACACAAAAATATAATGGAAGGAAGTGACATCAGTAATCAACGAAAGGTAATAGAAACAATCTTTGATCGGGAAAGAGAGCATAGTAATACAAGAAAAAGAAGACCACCTACCAGAAATGAGGATTTTTTATGAGAGTAAAATCAAATAAGTCTCTTATCAGTAAGTGTAATTATACCAAAGACTCTCTAATTCTTGTACATCAAAATATCGGAGGTCTTGGTGGCAAAATTGATGAATTGAAGCGTTCAGTTATTTGCAGTATTATAAATCCTCACTTAATATGCTTATCTGAGCATCTCATGTCTGACTGGAAATTATTATACAGCAATTTCCAGAACAGTGTATTGGGAACAGAGTATGCCTGTAAGACTCATCAGGGAGGTGTTTGTATATACATAAGATCAGATATAAAATTTACTGCTATAAATTTAGCACAGTTCTTTGATGAAAAGAACATAGAAATTTGTACACTTAAGATTTATTTAGCTAAAACTAACATATTTGTACTGTGGGAATTTTGAGTACTTTGTAAATAAGTCATCATGATCATCATCATCATTTATTTACATTCCATAAATCCACTACATGTAGGATAAGGAATTAGTCATTGATAATTATAAGTTAGGTAAAGTACTCAAATTACTCTATAAACCAAAAATTGAATTTATAAGATGTGATGATTTTAACGTAATTTTTTTAGAAGAGTCAACACACCAAACACAGCTATTGGTGCTGTTGCAATCATATAATATACCATTTCCTAAAGAGATCCCACGAGCTTGCAGATTTATATTAGAATTAGATATGGTCACGAAAATTTTGCCCCTAAACTGTGTTGTCGGACATAAGGATATTAAATTGCCAGTAATAAGCAGTGATTGGAAAGTGTGTGAACATGAGGAAATAGAACTCATTGGGGTTATAAATTATGGAAAAAGAATGGAAATTGTGATTTTTCTCACTATTCTATAGCCATAATTTTTCTAGCCTCAGTGTAACGTGTAAAATTATACTTGTAGTTGAAACATAATATTCTCATATTTTACACACAAGTTTCAGGCGCATGTTTTTATTTGCACCGGGGGGGAGGGGCAAAAATGTGTGCATTCAGCAAAGGTTAATGAGTGAAAAATATTTGTATTTTCTTGTCTTTTTATTATTTTATCGTGTAATACTGAGTTTATGCTATTTAGGATTACATTTTTAGAAATACAATCTGAATCCTGCATTCTGAATTCTTTCTTCTCCAGTAACATTTCTGAGATATTTATATGTTCAGTTTTTTCTTATTTAGTCATAATTTTCCAGATTATTTCTGGCAGGAAGTGTGCATTCAGCAAAGGTTAATGAGTGAAAAATATTTGTATTTTCTTGTGTTTGTTATTTTATCTTGTGATACTGAGATTATGCCATTTAGGATTACATTTTTAGAAATACAGTCTGAATCCAGCATTCTGAATTCTTTCTTCTCCAGTCACATTTCTGAGATATTTATATGTTCACTTTTTTATTTTACAATTTATTTCTGGCTTCTCATATATGTAAATACATTGCAGAAGAGTTATGTCAGAAACTGGAAAGTATGGATCATTTTAATAGCT